GGTAGACCTATTTTAGAAATAATACATAAGGAGATTATAGATCTGAAATTTGATTCCCTTAAAACTGTCCATGTATACAGACAGCATCTCTTTGAGAGTCTGAAAGTAAATTATATGGATACTCCAATTTGAAGCTGTTTTATATATAGTATAATCATATTGAGAGGAAAAATTCAAAAGAGTAATTCAATCTGTGGTGAAATGAAGGGAATTTTTTTCCCTTTCTTTTCTGTATTTTCCTAATTTTTTTCGATGAATCTCCAAGAATGTTACAATTCACTTATTTATGACTTTTCCCTGATCACTCTTTCTGCCTGAATCTTAAATTAATGCAAATTCTCCCTAGGGTTCTAATTCATGATCTTTTCTTCTGGATGACTTCTAGATAATCTTAATTCCCAAGGCTCCAGGTATCAACTATAAACTAATGATTCCCAAACCTAAACCCACAGATGTCATCTTTTTGGAGCTCAAAGATAAATACATCCAAATGCCCACTGAACATCTCTACTTTATGACCCACACCCACCTCACATTTCAACAAACTAAATTCATCCTCTACCCAATGCCTGGCTCCCAATCTGTTCTTCCTCCTGTGCTTCTCACCTTGTTCAATGGCAATGTTATTCATGCAACAGCCCAAGCCAGAAATCTTGCCATCAGTATAGATTCTTCCTTTTTTATTTCTCCTCTTATCAACTGTCCACTGAACCCAGGGACTTAATCTTCTAAAACCTTTCTTCTCCTCTCTCTCCTACTAACTGGTCTCTCCTTCGCAGCCCTGCAGCCCTCCAATGCCCCCCCACCCATATCACCTCCAAAGAAATCTTTCAGAGTGTGCATCTGATATTGTAGCTCCTTTGGATAAAATTACAATCAGTATTTGTCACATAAAGTTCAAAACTCCTTAGCCTGGCATAAAAATTCCCTCAGTATCTCGACTCTCCTGGGCCTACCTCTCATTTCTCACTACTACCCCTCTCACTCTCCAATCACAAAGAAACAGTTTTTCAAACACATCACAGCTCTCAGTCTCCCTGACCTCCCTGCTCTACACACGTCCCTAACTCCCGCCCCCGCCCCTGCCCCTGGAACTTTGTCAAGATTCAGTTCAGGCATATCAATTCCCAGATGCTTTGTCCCTCTAAAAGATCTCAAATCACTCCGTGTATACATCTTCATCATAAACAGTTACGCACAATGTAATATAATTGCTTATCTGTCCCTCTGATGAAACTGTGATTTGAGGCTCGGCTGTGTTTCAATGTTTCGTATTTCGAGTGCCTGGTACAGCACCTTACATACTAAAAATTAAACATATATATCATCCCCGTCATTAACCCAAGAAAACAGGTCACGGCCACTCAGAAAGAAAGGTGGCGCCGGCTGTGGCAGGAAGAGACCTTTGGGTAGGGCAAAGTCCATCAAAACAGTCATGCTTCACTCAAACCCAACGGAGTGACAGTTTCGCCAAGGCAGCGCCTTGCGATCTCCAACCAATGGTCGGGACGTGAGGGTAGGATTATTTGCCGAAGCTGTCAATCAAAGGTCCAGTCCTGAAGGACCGAGACTCAGCCCCAGGGGAAAGGAGAAGGGCGGCACCGAGTTTGCCCTGCCTCCCGCGTTAGCCTCCCCCTTAGCCCAGCAACCCGCCCACGCCCGGACCCCGTGCCCCAGAGCCTCACTTCTCGACATCCGCTGATTTCATGATGTGGGTCTTGGATGCCGTCAGCTTCCAGGGACCGAAGGAGAAGTCCTGGTGGCTGCTCTGGAAGCCGTGGATCATCATGGCTGAGGCGAGGTCCACGGAGGCCACACGGAACGGACTGGAGCAGTGGCAGCGGCGGCGGCGGCCGACACCAGTTCCTCCGCCTCCCTCCGGCCCAGCCCTCTCGGCTTCCGAGCCGTTACCATGCCCGGCCCCGCCCCCTGCCGGCCGACCCGGACGCGGGCCCTCTCTTCCGCCTTCTCCTCCGCCCTCTGCTTTTTGCTTCCGGGACCAGTTGCTAATATTCCGTGACCCTCGTCTTACGTTACGACGTTCCGGAAAAAAGGAATGGGGAGGGAAGGGGCGGGGCCTCGGCTGCAGCGGGTGTGGCCCAGGGCTCATGCCCTGCTGAACTGATTGAGTGACGACGTCTGGGTGGGGGATGGGGGTTTGCGGAATGCCAGGGAATGGGAGGGCGACTCTGACATGACCCTTACGAACCTCTGAAAGCAGTACAACTGCCTCGTATGTTAGTGAAGTGTTGTAGAGAGGAAATGCCCAACGTTTTTCTGTTGAGGCCAAAAAAAGTAATCCCTTAGGAGGTCCGTCATCGAGATTTAGAAGTGGCCTTCTAGCCACGATTGACGAGAACAGATTTCTATCAAAAATTTCATGCTATAGATGTTTCATGGTCTAGCTGCTACCGAGGCACGCGGTATAGTGGAAACGACACAGGAGACCTGGTGCTAAATCCACTTTTGTTACGCTATTGTGTGCATCCTTGGGCAAACCACTTAGCTAATGATTTTAGATTTCAGTTTCCTCAAAATTAGGTGGTTTGGAGGTAGGGCATCTTCCAAATTTGTCTTTCTGGTCTTAATTCCAACATTCTCTCTCACTTCTTACCACTTGCACTCAGCCCTCCCTCTGAACCCCACACTTGCTGTTCTGTCTACCTGAATATTGTCCTATTTCAGACTCACTGGCAACCTTTTAAAAATATAGATTCTGCAGATCTTGTGCCTTGCGCTGATCTGGAATAATCTAGCTTGCGCTGATACAGCTCCTTCAAAAGGCGTTTCCCAAACCCTGGAACTGGAGTTTAATCACTTCATCCTGTGAACCAACATGTTGGTTAAGTCAACTTCACTTATTCTAGTTATTACTGTCCATTCATCCAAATGCACATCATAAACTGAGCACCTGCTATTTACTATGTTTGTATTTTTATTACCCTTTCTTATGACAGAAATTGACAATGGAATTCTGAGACATGATTTTAGTGATACAAGGCAGAGCTCCTTGCCCCTTAAAATGTATGTTTCCATCTGTCCAATTTCAACTAAAATCTCAATTGCTTCTAGATAGGGTAACAGGCCACTATCATGTTACTATATAATTCTCTGTGAGGTGGCCTTGAGAAAGAAGTGCCAGGCCACCCTATCCAGAACTGAGGACTCGGTGGTTACCTACCTACCCTCTCAAACATTTGACTCTTTGCAAAATTTTCGTAGACAAGATATGATGAAGACTTCCTCTAATGGGATATTTTTATTTAAATTTAAAATCTAACAATTGAATTGTTAGGCTTAAAGAATTCACCCTCCCCAAACGTCCATCCAAACCTCCCATAAAACCCACCAGTCTCGCCTGCGTAGGTGTGTTAGGCACAGTAGCCTTTGCCAGACCCCTAGGGAGATAAAGGAATGAAATGCAAGAGGGAAACTTACTTTCCTTATCCCTCCAGGTTGTTTGAAAAGAATGTATTACAGCAGCTGTTCTGGCCCAGTTACTCACTCCCCGCAAAAAACTCCACTATAAAACCCAAGGCGCTCCCCTTTTCTCTCACGGATGCCTTTTTCAGCCTCTACCCATCTGCCCCTAGATGCTCAAATAAACAGCATTTTGCTACACATGAGGCTTCGTGTGTCTCCCTCTTGGCTCCAGACCTAATAGAACCAGTTATCTCTGTAACCTCCAATCCAAAAATGTTATTTAGAGGACTTTAAGATGATAATTTTTGGAAGACACAGGAAATAAATCTCTAAAGGTATACAATTTCAAGCACACATGTTAGAGAGATATTTGGGTATTGGCAGGGTATTTTCAATGCCCATTCAAGTACCATAACACGTAACTATCTGTTTTGTAAAGCTGAGTCTTGGGATGGAGTAATACCTGGGACTTGTTGGAGGGAAGGGATCCATTTTCAACCAAACTAGGAAAAAGATATTAGAGCCACCAAACCAAACCGTCTGCTATGGAAGTTTGTCAAGATTCAGTCCTGAAAACAACCAACTAATCCGTTGATTATTAACCAGTTACTATAGAAATTTCTGCATTCAACAAACATTTTGGGGCACCTACTATAGTGCTAGAAATTGTTTTAGATGCTAAAGACACAGCAGTGAGTAAAACAGGTAAGATCCCTTTCACCTTGGAACATACGCTATAATGGAGAAAATAAGTAACACGTAAAACAAAATTTATAATTTTAGATATTGGTAAATTTTGTGCAGAACATTAAGCAAATTAAGTGAAGAAGGTAAGAGTGTGGGAAGTGGGGAGCAGAATGGTATAGATGGAGTGATCAGAGGAGCCCTTTCTGTGGCAGTGACACTTGATGACCTCCACCGGGCACCTCTGGCAGACTTCCAAATTAACTGCCTGGGGAAGGTTTTATGATTCTTGTCTTACATCCGATTCCTCAGTAAAGAATCTTATTGTGAGTCCCTCAAATCTTATCATTAGTTCCTCAAACTATTGACACGCTGATTAATATGTAACCTACTGACATTGAAAAGGACACTGACTTGTTTCTGAATCATGAAGTTTACTGATTTGTTTCTGAATCATGAAGTTTAACTGATTGTCTTGCATATAAAACATTTTAGCCTGTATGCTGTTACCTGTAGCCAATGACTGTGACCTTTGTATTAAACACTCCAGTGAGAAAAGACAACTCCAATATGAGGGGTCTCCTCCCATCTCCTAAACCTTCTTATAAAAGCATTCCAACTTGTCAGACTTTGGACTTTGGAATATGCCCAACTTTGTTGGTGTGTCTTCCCCGGTGAATCCTCAAATTTGGCTTTCAAAACCTTTATCAAATTACTTCTGCCTGAACAGCCTTAATTTTGGTCAACACACTCAAGTAGAGACCTGCTGATAAGGTCTGATAAGAAGGAAGATCCCTGAAAAAATCTGGAGGAAGAATATTCCAGGCAGAGATAACATCAGGTATTCAGGCCCAGCAGAGGCAATGAGTTTGTCACATTTTAGGAAGAGCAAAAAGACCAGCGTGGTTGGAGTGGAGGGGACTGGGAAAAGTTCAGAGAAGTTGGCAGAGACTTGATTATGTAGGTATTATAAGCCATACCTTATCATTCATTTCTCAGCAAACTTATCAAATGAATGTACAACTTTTTTAAAAAAAATTTCGTTAACTAGATGTTTACTACTTCTAAACAGTCTGTGCCATTTATGAAGTTCTAATGATTAGAATGTTCTTCCTTAGGTTAAGCTAAAATGTGTTTCTTTGCTACTTATATTATTTAGACCTGGTTTTGCCCTCTGGAGCACCATGGAAAAAGCATGTTTCCCCTTCCACAAGACTGTTCTTATTTTTTTTTAATGTAATTTTTTTATTTTCCTTCCCTATAACTTATATTACTTATGTTTTTCATAGATTTAGGACTATGAGGTTTTTTTTTAATTTTTTTTATTTCAGCATATTACAGGGGTACAAATGTTTAGGTTACATATATTGCCCTTGCCCCACCTGAGTCAGACCTTCAAGTGGTGTCTATCCCCCAGACAGTGTGCACCGCATCCATTAGGTCTGTATATACCCATCCCCTCCTCCACACTCCCATCTGCCCGACACCTGATGAATGTTATTACTATATGTGCACATAAGTGTTGATCAGTTTATACCAATTTGATGGTAAGTACATGTGGTGCTTAAGACTGTTCTTATTTTAAAGCAACTTTCATGCCTTCCCGTTGTCTTTTTACTCATCCATTTACCTATATATCTATTCATCTATCTATTCATCCATCCATCTACCTATTTATTCAATGAATATTTAAGATATGAAGCACAGTGTTTAGAGAAGGGCATTACAATGAACAATGTAAGTAAACTATGATAGTCTTCAACCTCAAGCACCTTGATTCAAGTCATCTGTGTAAGGTGCCAAGGATATGGAGATATGTAAGACATTGTCTATAATCTCAAGGAGCTTGGACTCCAGTATAAGAAATGAAGTAAATAAATGCAAGCAATACTATATGACGTCTGGGCAATAAGATGGTGCGTATAATGGATATGGTACAGAGGAGAAGAAATAATTAATTCTGTCTGTGGAGGTTAGGAATGATTCACAAAGGAGCTGATCCCAGAGCAAAATGTTAAAAAAAAAAAATAAGATTTCACTAGGTGGAGACAGTTCACTTCAAGGACAAGTAACAGATACATAGGTGTGAAAGCATAGAACAGCATGTATGAGTATGGGAAGGGGAAGGTGTTGGGGACAAAGAGAGCTGGCAGCCTCTTGCAAGTTAGCTACCTCAGATAAGGTCATCCTAGAGACTTCGAGCAAGTCAGAAACAACTTCATCAGAGAGAAGAGAAAGGGCTGGGATTGCAGGGTCAGGGTACTTGAAGTCCTCCAAATCCTACTACTCCAGCTCTAAATTTCCCAGTTTTAGCCTAATAAATGTCCTAAATTCATATAAGAGATCCATGAGCCTGCAAACTGAACCTATGTTGAAGTTCAGCAACCTCTAGGACCATAAGTGCAGCCCATGTTCTGAAATGTAAGCCTGATGCTGTAAGAGACCAGGGATACTTATAATAGGCAGTCACAGAAACTCACTAATTTTCTGGCTTATAATGCACTAAGCCAAGGATTTAAGATAAATATTCCATTTCTTTTTGTTTAGTTACTCTCCTGAAATTTTTAACATGCTTACTTAACAAAATCTATTAATATGTATTACTACCTTCCTCTCAAACAACATAAGGACCTTAGAATGTTTTAATTGTGACTCTCTCACTTTGTTTCTTTCCTCCGATGTCTTAAGAAAATTCACTCTGCTTTTATCAGCTAACCAAATCGAGTTTTTAAAAAATTCCTCAAAAGGAATTGTGCTTATCCCAAAAACAAAACGGAGGAGACAGCGGTTGGGAACCCTTGTTCTGCTTTGAAGTAGGCCATGAAGAAG